TAACAGTACAACCTCATCGGGCACAAGAGACACGTCCCTAGACACCTTAGCTGTTGTCCGGGCTGCTTTAACTCAGTTGGAGAGTGAAGTTGTTAATTCAGCACCTTTGTCTCAGCCATCAGTCACAACATCTACTCCAACTTCAGCTTTTGCTCATTCAGGTACACGGGCCTCAACTTATCATGCTTCAACCCCAGGTAACATTGAACTTTGTTGGGTGATAGATTCAGGTGCATCTGATCATATGACCGACTTCTCCTCACTATTCACTACCTACCACTTATCCTCTGGCAGAGACAAAGTGTCTATTGCCGATGCTCTCTTGTTCCCATCTCTAGCAAGGGAAACATCAAGTTGTCTAGTGTCATTTCTTTGTCTTCTGTTTTGCATGTTCCTAAACTCAATACTAATTTGCTTTCAGTTAGTAGCATTACTAAAACCCAAAATTGTTTAGTAACTTTCTTTCCTGACCGATGTGTTTTTTAGGACTTGGAGACGAAGAAGGTGATTGGGATTGGCTGTGAGACGAATGGAATCTACCTGCTTGGAGGGAGCTCACATGGGGAAGATAGTGAAGTTAGGAGGTTTTTTGTTTCTTCGTCTATTGGTCAGGTTATGCTTTGGCATAATTAGTTGGGTTATGTTAGAGTTAGCCGAATAAGGGTAGATTAGTCAACTCACCTTGGTTAAGTTATGAGCTTATGTGGCAGTCTTATTAGAGGTTCTCTGTCCCATACTTAAGTAGRRGCAGTTTAGTCCTTGTACATTTAATTAGAGCCTAATCACTATTAAGAAGTCGACTGATAGGGTTTAGCTATCAAGTTCGACAGTTCTTTCATCTTCTTCTTCTCTTCTTCTTCTTCTTCTCCTTCTCTTTCTTCTTCTCTTCACTGGTTTGGACTACTGTAGCAACAGTAGAAACAAGTTATTTATCTTTTAAGTCTTTGAAAAATTTGTTTCCTAGTTGGGTTATTTATCTGTCCAGATGTCCAATTTGAAATGTGAAAGTTGTGAGCTTACAAAGCATTGTAGAACTATCTATTCATTGAGAAAAAAATGTAGTATTCTTTTTGAAATTGTGCATACAAATGTTTGGGGACCTTATCATATCACTGCTAGGGGGGGTATAGATACTTCTTGTTGTTTGTTGATGACTATACTTGGTTTTCTTGGGTTTACCTTATGCGTTCTCGAGATGAGGTTCCTACATTAACCCGAATCTTCCATCATATGATTTTAACCCAGTTTGGAGTCAAAATCAAAATTTTCAAATCCAATAATGCAAAAGAGTATTTTGCAAAACCATTAGCCTCATATTTCCTTGACCATGGAATCATCCATTAGAGTACCTGTCCTCATACTCTTCAGTAGAATGGGGTTGCTGAGAGGAAGAATAGACACATATTGGAGGTGGCTAAAAGCATCATGTTTAACTCCAATGTGCCTATACGTTTCTGGGGGGATGCTATTCATACAACCATACATCTCATCAACCGAATTCCCTCTCGGGTTCTTGGCATGAAACCTCCATTCACTCTTTTATACCTTGATAAAGAGTTGTTCATCATTCCCCTTAAAACCTTTGGTTGTGCTTGCTTTGTTCAGACCTTTGGTCCTCATCGTTCTAAATTTGATCCTAAAGCCTCAAAAAGCATTTTCCTTGGTTATGCACAAACTCAAAAGGGACATTGCTGCTTTGAACCTACTTCTAGGAGGAGGTTTGTCTCTATGGATGCCACTTTCTTTGAGGATGTACCTTATTATCCTAGGGTTTCTTCTTAAGGGGAGTATAGTGAGGTGGGGGTTCATTCATCAGAAACTCCATTACCTGTTCCAGTTATTGAAGAGGGGTGTAGTGGAGAGGGCTGTCAGAGGTGCCAAGATTTGAGAGTTTATCACAGACAATGGAGGCAGGTTGATTTTGGTCAACATCAGCAGTCCAGGCCAGCCTCAATTCCTTTTGCGGATCCAGATCCAGGTACCACTATTCCTTCATCTTTTAGTACAAATGAGTTACCTTCCATTGTTGAGCCTTTACCCCCTCCTATTGAACCTTCACCCCCTTTTGATGACCTTGATCTTCCCATTGCAGTCTGCAAAGGCAAACGCCATTGTACCTCATCTACAACCCACTATATTTCCTAGTTCCTATCCTATGATCACTTGTCCCCATCCTATAAGTCCTTCTTAACCTCCATTGCAGCTATTCCCATTCCTAGAACAGTGCAAGAAGCCTTGTCAGTTCCTGAGTGGAAGGATGCAATGAAGGTAGAAATGAATGCCCTCTTGAAAAACAACACTTGGGAGCTAGTTGATCAACCTAAAGGGAAGAAACCAATTGGATGTAGATGGTGTTTACTGTGAAGCATAATGCTGATGGTTCCATCGAAAGGTATAAGGCCAGATTAGTTGCAAAGGGATTTACTCAGACATATGACATAGACTGCTTAGAGACTTTTGCACCAGTAGCAAAGATGATCACTATCAGAGTTTTATTATCTCTTGCAGCCAATTACTCCTAGCCTTTGTTTCAGATGGATGTTAAAAATGCCTTCCTCAATGGAGACTTGCAAGAAGAAGTTTACATGCAGTTGCCTCCTGGGTTTTATAGTGCAGAAATTGGAAAGAAGGTTTACCAGCTAAATAAAGCCTTGTATGGACTAAAACATTCCCTAAGAGCTTGGTTTGATAGATTCAGACAAGCCATTTAAAAGTTTGGCTATGTGCAAGCCCAGTCAGATCACACTCTGTTTGTTAAGAAATTGGATTCTTCCTTAACCCTACTTGCTGTATATGTGGAGGATATTGTCGTGATAGGGAGTGAAAACAATGAGATTGAGTCTCTTAAGCAACTCCTTCATCAATGGTTTGAGGTAAAAGACTTGGGAGAGCTATGGTATTTCTTGGGTATTGAGGTAGCTCGGTCCATGCATAGGATTTTTGTTTCTCAAAGAAAGTATGTTCTTGATTTGTTGGAAGAAACATGAAAGTTGGGTGTTAAGCCTGCTGACACACCTATTAAACAGAATCACAGGATCGGTGCAGAAGGTGGATAACCCCTTGAAGATAAAGCTATGTTCCAATGATTAGTTGGAAAACTTCTCTATCTTTGTCTCACTCGACCAGGCATCAGTTATGCAGTCAGTGTATTCACTCTCTTAGAACTACTCACTTACTTGCAGTTGAGAGGATATTGGCATATTTGAAGAGGTGTCCAGGCAGGGGTATTCTATTCAAGGATAATGGTTACATGAAAATAGAAGTTTACATAGATGCTGATTGGGCTGGGTGTGTTGATGATAGGAGGTCTACCTCTGGATATTATGCCTTTGTAGGAGGTAATCTTGTTTCTTGAAGGAGTAAGAAACAAAGTGTTGTTGCTCGTTCTAGTGTTGAAGCTGAATACATGTCCATGGCAAATGGTATGGCTGAAATCTCATGGCTGAAATCACTATTTGAGGAGTTGGGTATTACTTATGAGAAACCCCTAATGCTGTAGGTCTACATCTGGATATTGTGCCTTTGTAGGAGGTAATCTTGTTTCTTGGAGTAAGAAACAAAGTATTGTTGCTCGCTCTAGTGCTGAAGTTGAATACAGGTCCATGGCAAATGGTGTGGTTGATATCCTATGGTTGAAATCACTATTTGAGGAGATGGGTATTACTTATGAGAAACCCCTAATGCTATACTATGATAATCAGGTTGCTATTAGTATAGCCCATAATTCGGTACAACATGACAGAACCAAGCATATTGAAGTGGACCGACACTTTATTAGAGAAAGGGTTGCTTCTCAAGAAGTGTTTCATCCATTTATCACCTCCAACATGCAGCTTGCAGATCTCCTCAGTCCTCACCAAGGCAGTTTCAAAGACAAAGTTAGAAGCAGACCTATGCAAGTTGGGAATGACAAACATCTATTCCCAACTTGAGGGGGAGTGTAGAGAACATTAGTGTGGTCTCCACTGTTCGTTAGTCTAAGTTTATCTTTATATTTATTCAGTTCAGCAGTTAACAGTTATTTCAGTTTGTTTTATTAGTCCTTTTATTTTATTTATTTGCCATGTAAGCAGTAAGGGTAATTCAGCCCTTTTATCTTTATTTAAACATTAATATAAATTGTAGAGTGGGGCGACAATCTAAGTCAAGACACTCTATTTCAGAATTGTCCTCTTCGTGTCCTTCTTCTCCTCTTCTCTTCTCTTTGTCTCCCTCTCCCTTTTCTCAATCTTTTATTTTGATTATTTCATATTGAACTTAGGACTGATTGCAGTCCTATTCGACTACTGTGTTCTTTTTGCTGTGTTTGTTTGCAGTGCAAATCTATTTGCACTGATGCAAAACTACGGCAGTGCAAATGTTTTTGGTGTAAATTTTGATCTATTTTTGTTTCAAATTTTACCTTACTTTGATTGGTTACAGTACAAATGAAGTAAAATAAGACCTAAAGCAGAATAAAGTAAAATCCAAAACAAAGTTAAACCATATTTTGCATTTTTTTTTCATTTGCACTCCTATACATTTGTACTAGTACAAATAATGGAGCTGTAATAATATCAAATCTATCCTTCTTGAGGTGAGTGTCAACTGAATGGAAGTGATTACCATTTTCTTGTCTTGGTGCTTTTGGTTCTTTAGTCGTGGGAGTGTTGGTGGTTCAGGCTAATATTGTATGTCTTAGTCGCTTAGGTCTCTTGGGGGTGGCATGGTTTGTCTTTTTGCTTTTTTCCTTTGCCCCTCCCCATTCGGAATCTCTGATCTCTATAAACTTTTACATCTTCCCTTTTTTAATTATTAAGTATATATTATTAAATATAGTCATTCAATTAATTATCTGCTCAACTTCATGAAGAACAGTAATCCAATTAAATATAGTCATACAATTATCTGCTTAACTTCATGACTAACCAGTGCATATTTTTTATGCCTTCTGTAGTTTGTGTAATTTTTGGTTTAACTGTGGTGTAACTTTTTTTCTGAAATTATGAACTCCTTGATAGTTTCGGAGCAGTACTGTTGGCAACCACCGGGGGAAGAAGAACCTTGTGTTATCTTCTTGGGGCGATGATTCTCTGCTCTCTGAAAACTATGTTAACCCATATTATGTTCCAAGTTCTTATCAATCATACAGTGAAAGGACTCAGAAGAATCTGGTAACATTTTTTCCCTTTTGTTTGATTAATCCAGTAATTCACTTCCAAATGCAACCTAGTTGTATGTTATTAGTTTTGCTTTCATGTTATATTTGATTGTGTCTATCAACAATGTGCTTGTGCAGAAATGCTTGAATGAAGATGTAATTGATTATGACCTCCTAGAAGACTTGGTTTGCCATATTGATGAAACATATCCTGCTGGTTCTATACTTGTCTTCTTGCCTGTAAGCCCTTTGCATAAGTGGTTGATTTATTTTAATTTAATTTCTATTTCTTTTATTTATTACACACTTGGCATATGTTTTCTTTTCTTTATATTTCTTTCAGGGTGTTGCAGAAATTTACACACTACTCGATAAACTAGTTGCTTCATATCAATTTGGTGGACTCTGTTCTGAATGGCTTCTTCCTCTACATTCCTCTCTATCATCAACTGACCAGAGAAAGGTGTTTCGACAACCACCTGAAAATATTCGTAAGGTAGTTTTCATTTCTGATTGGACTGGTATCAGTTTTTTCTTATTGGTATTGATAATTCTCAGATATTACCATCTATTTTTAAGATCTTTGATTTCTTTTATAGTTTTCTAAGGTTTTGTTTGATATCATTGCTGTTTCTGCCTGAAATGTTTTGGGTTAATCAATATGAACTTGTGAGAGATATTTTTTGTTCATGAAACTTGTACAAATGGCTGTTTCTACCTGAAACATCAAATTTGGCATTTCAACTATGAATATCATTGTTCAGTCCCGGACATGCATTTTTCTAGTTGAAGTGACTCACATTTGTGATGTGACAGCACCGTTTTTTTTTTTGATAAATGATGAAATTTTATTAAGACTGAAAAAGTATTACATCAAAAGTTACAAGGCAATCATCCCAATAGAGGCACAAGGTGCTGCCCCCAAAAAGAAACAGAATTACAACTGAGCCAGAAAGAGTTCAGGCTTATGCACCCCCAGTTTTACAATGTAATCAGCCATCTGATTTGCTGATCACCTTTCCTATTGGACACTTAGTATTGATTGACCCAGGACGTTTCAGGTAGTTTTATTTTTCATCAAAATTGTCTTTGTTTTTCTCCTCTTAGTTGTGGATAGGAGGGGGAAGGTTTCTGTTTAACAATGTTAATTCAGAAGGATTCCCTAAAGTTCTGTTCAAACTGTTCACTTTTATCTCTGTCCCCATAGTGTTTTTCAATTTCCAGATTTTGTTGTATTTCAAGTGATGTTTGTTGTATTTAAACGTGTTAACAATCAACAAAGGTGACTTCTTTACTGCTGGATAAAGTGCACAAGAGGGCATTTTAATAGAAAAATGCACTTTCAATGATGAATTTTGTGGGCCTTTTCAATCCATGTCTCTCTATTTCAGGTTATTGTGGCCACAGATATTGCAGAGACCAGTATAACAATTGATGATGTAGTTTATGTTGTTGACTGTGGTAAGCACAAGGAGAGTCGTTATAATCCACAAAAGGTATGCATTGTTTTTTGGATTATCATGAGGTGTAAAGTGTTGCTTATATAGATTTGATTCCTATATGTTACCTTAAAAAAAGATTTGTTTTGCACTCGTGTTTTGATGTTATCTAAGATGTTGGTTCTTGGTTGTAAACAGGAGGGTAGACACTTATATTTTAAGTTATCTTACTCATGGTTTTGAAAACTAAACCAGATCAGATTGTTGGATCGGTTGACCCGGGAACTGGTTCATGGCTCCGGGTCCGATTTTAGATGCCAAAACCTACCTGACTGGATTCCGGACCAGATGGTCAGACCATTTGACTTGGGAACCTTTGGCCAAAATGGTTCCATTTCGGTTAAGTTTTTAAAACCATGATCTTACTTGTGTTGTTAAGTATGAGCTGAACATAATGAAGATCTGCTTTATTATAGACAAGTGAAGAAATACAAAAATGACAAGTGTCTCCGTAGTTAGACCATGTGAAGGACCTGATACAAAGTTACAGAGATAGTTTAACCCATGGTTCAGACTTTCAATATTGATAGACATTTTACCATGTAGATATGGGGAAATTTTGACAATATTTTTCTAATTTCACTTGGATATTTGGAAAATCTAAAAAAGTCAGGAGTTTTTTTTTAGAAACAGGGAATTAATTAATAAACCTTCAAGGAATTGTTAGAAGTATAGTTGCACATTTATGACTTTAAAAACCATAGCAAACCACTGTATAGATCAAATAAGAGAAGATTAGTCTTAAATAGGTATATTTCTCTCTATTTCCCATTTACCTTTTAGCTATCTTCTCTTCATTACATATGTCATTTTACATGCCATTTTAACTTTGTCTTTTTTGTTACTGAACATTTAAATTAAATTGAGAATCCTCTATAACTAGTTGTGGCATTTTTCTTTTTATTTTGAATTATAGTGACTTGGTAAGTGGATCATATGGAATTAGTTGTGTGGATTTTTTATTGCCAGTTAGCAAAGTGGGGAGATTTTGGAGAAATTTCACCAAATCTCACTGATATTGTGAACCATGGTTTTCCCCATTAACTTATAAGCTACAACACTTAACTACATTCTAATGTCCTCTTTAAATATTCCCATCAAAGCCCATACATCATCATTTGTAATAACATCTAGTAGTCAAACAACTTCACCCAGAGGCTCCTTTGTCCATGTCATCATAATCTGGTTTGGTAATACTAGGATCTAGTCAAATGTGAGTAACTTAATTGGTGGGCACCCGCCTAGGCGACAAAAATGGCAAGGTGGGCGCCTTTTATAATATCATTTGTTGCTGTATCTTATTAATGTATGTTTTAATACATTTTAATATATGCTATACATATATTCATATGTTTTACTATTGAAATTTAAAAGATCAAAGGGCTTTGAGAGAAAAGGAAAGTAAGAAAGAGGAAAGAAATAATAGAATTATAAAGAGGTTCTTTTTTTTCTATTCTCTCTCTCTCTAATTAAATAAAACAGAAACTTCATTCTTGTTTTTTTTTATTTTACCTCCCATCCTTGTTTTTTCTACTTGCCACATTTTTAGAGGAAATTTAATGTTCTTAATAAAGTGAATTTCTATTTTTTCGATTAATATACATGTTGAATGGTATATAAAACTAGGGAGCTAGCCAAAAGTTAGTTTTTTATATTATAAAATTTTTATCACCTAGGTGACTAGGTGTTAGACAGTATATGCCCTTAGCTCCAATCAGATTGATGTATCTTTTGACATTTATTGTAAATGAATAAAGTACATAATTGATTCATGTCATTGTGGTATGCTTTTGTGTAATACCCTTAAATTGGACACTTATGAGACTCGTGTTAGTTTAGAATCTTCACAGCCGTTKGATAGATYTGGGGARATTTATYYTRYCAAGGWTGACATTGATGTACCACCAAGTTAGTTGGGGTGGCTTGTCTCAGCTGGTAGGGTGAGACCTGAGGTACATGTAGTGTGGGTTTTCTTGAAACCCTGAACCGGACCAGAATTCCAGTATTGCACTGGACCTTGGAGATAGATGGGCAAAACTGGAATGTTACACCTGACCCCTAGACTCGATTATGATACTACACTAGGTGCCGGATTGGGCTGTCTTTGATATGCCAATCAGTGAAATCCTTAGAGGGGGTCAAAACTCGGGTATGTTGGGACAGTCCGGGAATTCATCTGAGTGGGTGATCATAGTGACAGGATCAGCCCCTTTGTCGGACAAAGGTAATGATCGGGGATGCACTCTCTCTGATGGAAACCAAAACTGCCGGCAGTTGATTTCAACCGTTGAAATTTGTTTTGCAAAATATATTTATATAGAGATATACATATATATATATTA